TTGAAGACTAAGGTTCACCAGACCCAAACCATGGTGTTTTCAATCGCCTCACGTGCGTGCGAAAGCTAGACAATGAATAAGGAAGAATGAAGAAGAACTGACGCCTTTGAATTGTGGTGTTTGCAAAGAATACTGAATATACCATGGACTGCCAAAAGCACAAACAAATCTGTCTTGGAAGAATTACAACCAGAAAGCTCCCTAGAAGCAAGGATGGTGACACTACGTCTCACATACTTTGGACATATTATCAGGAGGGATCAGTCCCTGGAGAAGGACATCCGGCTTGGTAAAGTAGAGGGTCAGCGAAAAAGAGGAAGAGCCACAAAGAAATGGATTGACACAGTGGCTGTAACAATGGACTCAAGCATAACAATGATTGTGAGGATGGCGCAGGACCGGGCAGTTTCATTCTGTTGTACACAGGGTCGCTATGAGTCAGAACTGACTGAACAGCACCTAACAACGAAGTGACACAGTGGTTAAGATGCTGGCTGCTAACCAAAAGGCTGGCAGTTCAAATCCACCAGCCACTCCTTGGAAACCGTGCGGGGCAGTTCTACTGTGTCCTACAGGATCACTATGATTCAGAATCAACTTGACAGCAATGGGTTTGGTTTGTTTTTGGTTTTTGAAGGTGAATGGTTATGCCTATATTTATTAATTGGGGTATGTGATAAAAATTCTGGAAAGCACTAGTCGCAAGTACAAATGGAGTGCTATAATTTGAATTTTGAGTTTGAAATACTGCAAAAGGGTTGATTTTTTAAGCCTTCCCCCTTCATTTAAGATTGATTTTAAAAATCTATCAATATAACACTTTTTTTTACAGAGAAAAAGCTTCTAAAACAGTAATTCTCAACTAAACTCAAGGAGCATCTTGAGCTTGTTAAAAATGTACACCAAGAGATGCTGACTCCATAGGTCTGGGGTGGGGCAAAAATTATCAGTCTCCTTAAGAAACCAGGTTAGCAGAGCTTCTCAGTCCAACATTATTGATATTTTGGGCCATATAATTCTTTGTTCGAAGGGGCTGTCTTGTCCTGTGCATTACAGGATGTTTAGCAGCCTCCCTGGCCTCTACATACTAAATATCAATAGCACCCCACCACACTCCCAGTTGTGACCACAGAACAGGTCTCTAGACATTACCAAATGTCTTATGGAGAACAACAGTGCCTCTGGTTGAGAACCAGGGATAGAAGCTGTCCAAAGACAACACACTTTAAGAAATGCCATTCTTAATCAAAAAGATGAAACAATATGATAGAAGTAAAAGAACACAGATACATACACGCATACATTACAAATTGAAATAAACAAGCTTCCCAAAAGGAAATCTGATTAACCACTATAAACTCCTGACAACTCCGCTAAGCTTTTAAATCAGAGCTCTTCTTATGTAATTTCAACTTCAAGATTCTCTCCCTCGCTTCTATTTTAGATTATTTTTAATTAACTTTACCAGCATTTTGCATCCTGCTATGAAAAGTCAGCCTAATAGTCTCTGAGGACTCTCCCAAGAGGGAAGAGTGCATTAAATCACACATTATCACATTAAAGTAGATTCCAGTACTCAGAGTCCAATAGTCTAAGCCTTGGCAAATGCAACGGGGTGGGGGGAGCGAGGCAGTGCAAGGACTGGAACAGGCTCAAGTGATTCACAGTATCCAATCCTATTATCTTTGATGCATCCATCTGTACAAAAAAACAAGTTGTACTGAGTCTCTACTTCAACCACATTCATCACAATGACTTAGAATATATTTTACAATCTGTGCTTCCACGCTGATTTCCTGCTAGTGACATATGTGAGACCTTGGGCAAGTCTCTTAAATTATTTGGATCTTCTTTCCCTCATCTAAAAAGTGAGAAGGTTGAGCTAAATTATTTCTAAAGGTCCCTCCAACTACAAGTTGCAAAATTAATGAATGAAACATTGAACTAAGAGCCTACTTCAAATATATGGATTATACTTAACTATTACACCAAAGAGCAAACACCTATATTTTTGTCGTTGCTTGGTAACTCAAAAATTTTAAGATGTTTACTCCAAAAATGAAAAGACAGCAATTAGAGAAACCACATATACAAGTTCATTCTCTCTTAAAACCAAAATTAGTGTGGTCTAAATTGTCCTTCACCTATCAAGACACTTACACAGGTACTTTACATGAGAAGGCAAAGCAATCTTTCGGAAGTTCGTCATAAATAGGGAAATCATTTTAATCACACATTTTCGTTCTAATTTCTGTAGTAGAGATCACAAATCAGTGGCTCAGAGGTCACATCCGGCTTGTAGATGTGTTTGTTTTATTTGGCCTGGAGAATAGCTGTATTTAATTAGTTGCCAACTTTAAAAAATGGGGAGATGATACATTAAAAATCCAGATTCCTAGTTTCTCTTAAAATACTGGGAGATACTAACCCACAAGACAACAATCAGCTAGAGCTGAGGAGTGATGCCTTCTGCCCCAGGAGCTCTCCTGTCCCTGCAATCCCCATTCCTCGCTACTTCATACCATCCCACACCGCTCCCTCTTACAGCCTGGTCTCCTGTATCATGTGAGTTTATGACCCTGCTCTATAATAACTGTCAAAATATAGAAAAACAAACTTTAATGTTTTAAAAGCAATGGAAAAGCTTGCAGAATCACATAAAATGGGTAGAAGTTTTCGGGAGGCAGAACTATTCTCCAAATAAGGAAAATCTTCCTAACTCTGAATGCTAGGTAATAAGTAGAATGGGCTACACTGTAGTTTTCTAAGGATGTAGAATCTTAGATTTGCTAGGGAGTTGGGACTAGAGAATCTCTAAAATTAGTTCCAACTTTCAGGTTCTGTGCCTTTGGTTAGCAGAATAGATAGTTCCTCACAATAAATGTTTAACTTTATTTGCAGGGAAAGGCTTTATCTTATCCTTCCTCTTCATAAAAAAGATATTTTCTGTTAACTTCCATAAAACACCATTTTTCTCGCTGTTTTTCTTATATGGAAATATAACAATAAGTTTCAATTAACCAAGCAGCCACATCTGACCAGAGCATTATTAAACTATTCTTCGGAAAGGATGTCAAAGAATCCAATGACAGAAGGAAGGTGATAAAAGGAACTGAGGAACAGCTTAAGAGTAGAGTGAACTGTGAGCAAAGCTTCTTTCGCAAGGTCATTTTTTAAACCACTGCTTAATAAAACCAACCTAACCATGGCAACCTGCACCTTGAAGTTGCTTCCCTACCCACTTGACGCCCCCAAAAAAAGTTTTCTTTAAATATACCTTATGAAATGTGCCTGTTTGAGATAAAATATTTTAACAAAAGTCCTAAGAGTTTCTTTTGAAAAACTCTACTTCTACAATTAAAGGGATGCTTATTTAAAGAACGTTTTGAGTCTAAGTTAGACTAGTAAAAAAGTAATGTGTAACAATGTTGCTGAAGCTAAGCCAATTTTCAGGTAAAATATAACCCAAGAGTTTCCACACTGATAATGTGTTTTTCAAAGCAAACATTCTACTTCAGACCATTCTAGACGCCCTGCTTCTTAAGGTCAGATCACGTGACACCATGCAGCATTGCACTACACAGGTGCATCAAGTACCTCTGCCAATTCTCCCCACTAATTTTAAAAAAGCATATGATTAAAATAAAGATGGGCAGTGTAGATATCAACTATTTCCAAATCAAATACTTTTTCCAGTGTGTGACACTGATTTCTGACATAACCAGTGTTTAGCAATGCTGATTAACAGCTCAAGGGTGAGCACACACAGCACATCAATGAATCGATGTGACTACTGAGGGCATGCCTGACAACACAAAATGATTGTGTTGACAATACAATGTACAGAACATGGGCTGCTTCTGGGAAAACATTTTATTATTCTACTTCTCAGATACTCTGTAGCTAACCATTTTTATTTTCTCTGTTTAGAAAGCATGAGTCACTCTTAAGATGTGAAAAACAAAGATAAACATAATTCAATTTAACAGCCCTGAATGCCAGAACATTTTAATTTACTCATGGATGTTTTCTACTTTTACCTAGTGTAAGTTCAACATCAAGTTTGCTTCTTTTCCATCTTTTTCTGCCTTAAAAAAAATCCCAAGAAGCTCACTATATTATTGTTGAAGGGGGAAAAAAGCTATCAGATATGCTTAAAACGAAGAGTATAAAGTAGATTTTTGAGCCCTGAAAAATTCTTTCTTTTCTATCAGTGTCAGAACTCTTTAAATCAGAACTGCCGTTGGGGGGGTACGCATCAGCAGAGTAAGGCCTTTGCTCTCCATCACCAATGCAAACCTGAAGGATGCTACCTCCAAGCAAGAAGAATGGTATTGTCTAACTTGCTTATAATCTTGCTATGGAAGTTTCCCAGAAACAAAAGTATTTTCTTTCATAGGCTGCACGTGTTTACACTTCTGGAAGAACACAAAGGAGCTAATTCATTCTTGTAAAGTGTTTCTTTTAAAGCATGTTTATTTCAAAACAAAACCATTATTATTGAAAGCATATGCATGCGCCATTCCAAAGAAACTGGTCACAGAAATCTGGACTATCAACCGGGTTGCAGAGTAGCCCACAAGAAATAGAAAGATGAAACGGAGATTGCATCCATGTTACAGTAAGCAGATGCCGTCATGGATCTGCTGAGGACACAAGAATCCAAGAGACCTAAGGGAGAAGAGCTTCAGAACCCACACATTTGACTCTTGGGCCCAGAAATGCATAGGCTAAAGAAAGAAGCCATCCTGTCATCCTGTTTCTCTGCAGCCTAAGGAAGGGGGAGTGGAGGGGCCAGCGGATCCCGCCCTCTCATCCGGTTGTTGATTTAGGGCTGGAATCCTGGAGAACTTGCTTGAGTAACGCGAACGGTGCAAAAGTTCTGAACTACCAGGTGAGACTCGTCCTCACTGCCCCCTCTTCCCAATCAGTAAATGTGTCAACTGGCTGAAAAATGCAACAGTGACAAAGAAGCCTGCTACCTGCAAGCGCACACTCACCCTGGGCCGGGGCGCTGAGC